CAGCTAACTGGGTTTGTGGGCAATGAATGGGCCCTGTCATTTGCTCCAGCTGCCTGAGTCCTGCACAGGAAGCTGAAGCCTGCATTCAGTTAGAAACAAGCAACCCCCTTTAGGTCCCACACCTCAGTCCAGCCTTGGCCTGATGCCCCAGGGTCATCCACAACCCACCCTGTCTCCATAGCAACAGCCCCAAACTAGGCAGAAGCAGGTAGGAAAAAAGGAGCCCAGGAGGTGAGCTCAGCCCTGGTAAACTGCCTGGCCCTTCTTTCCCCTGGTGATTAGCCAAGCACCCCTGCTCCCCAAAGAGGGCAACAGAGGATGCCTTGAAAAGTGGCACGCTGATTAAACGCTCCCCCGGCTGTTCTGACTTCTTCAGATAAACTCCCAGCTCCTTCTCTGGTGGGCCTGCCTGTTCACCTCTCCTGCCTCTCACTCTAAAATCCTGATCATACTTAGCTCTCCACCCCACTCCCACCTTAGCCCTCTCAGCTGGTTTTCAAGCATGCTAGGGTCGTCCCTGCCCTGGGACCTTTGCCCCTGAGCCCCTGTCTAAAGCACAGTTCACACACCTGGCCGTTGAGAACTTTCCAGATCCACCCACTCTCCTCAGGGGAGTCGTCAGCACTCGCTACCCAGTCCCAGTGTAGGAAGATGAATGCTTGAATGCATGCCGGGCAGGGAAAGAAAGCAGACGTCCACCACAGAAACCTAGCGATGGTCTGGGGTTGAGGATGGGGCTCAGTCAGGAGCTGTGTAGAAGGCTCTGGATTCAGCCCTCAGCACCACATAAACCAGGCATGCTGGCACATGCCTATAATCCCAGCATTCAGAAGGTAGGGGCGGGAGGATCAGGGGTTCCGGGTCATTCTTATGTTCATAGCTATTTCCACGCCAGACAGGCTTACCAGGGACCCCGGGTCAAAAGGAGGCGGGGAGGGAGGCAGCAGAGGCCTCTCTTAAAGCAGGGAGTGATTTCTGCATCCTCTACCCTCACCCCCGTACCCACTGCTCCTTGGAACAGAATCGTCCCCCATCTTTCTTTGCCTCCACTCATCTCTCATTTCGGAATGCTCCCGTGTTGGCATCCGGAACGTAACCAAGTTGATTTAAGTTGATTTACCCTGCACTCTGGCAGCTCACCATCCAAACACAGAGGGAGCCACACAGTAACCTTAGAGCAGCAGCCTTGAGTGAGGGAAAGCGGGTTGCGATTCTCAGAGGGGCTGGGCCCAGCCTGAGACTTTGGGGCTGGGGTTTATTTAACATACTTCCATCTCTGCCTTCGCGGCCCAGATAGTTTGTTTGCCAAAAACCTGCAGACTTCAGGCCTGTGGCAAGTCACGTGTGATAGTTACAGCAGCCTGGACTTTGTCAAAGGCTGCCTTCTCTTTTAGCTGTTCCCAGGGACCCCAGCTCCCCCAGCTTGGTGGGATTGTCTCTGCTGCTCAGACCAGAAGCCCCCCCCCCCAAAACCAGTGACAGCAGGTCAAAATTGCCACCTCAGGTGCCAGGGGTGAGACCCGAACTCCTGGACCTGCTCACCTTCTGTTTGTAATGTGTTAAAATACAGGTAAAGCCATTATCCAAAAATGGCTGCCACAGGAAGTAGATGAATGGGGAGGTGTACCTACATCCTGTAATGGCATAAACAGAGGTCACACACATCTGTGTGCCACTTTAACTTGTGGATGAAAGAAAACGCTCAGAGTCACAAAGGAAGTCAGTTACACCAAATTATAAACTGGTGTGTACCTCCCTGCACACGTGTCCAGGCCGTATCACTGAGGGTGGGCAGGTCTGGGACCAGGGGTGATATTTTAAATGTCTGCGGTGACTGATAGGTAGACGTTCCTGATTTCACTGGTGATCGAGTCCCAGGCCCTGTCACTGGAGTGTGTAGCTTCCTCCAGGATTGTAGGGAATGCTAGTTAGAGGTTAAAGAAAATAAACAAACACAAATTCTCCCTCCCAAGTTCACAGACTGCCTGAATTCTGGCTCCAAACAGCAGATGAGGAAACTTCCTGGAGCTAGAGAGGTGACTCTGTGGTGTAGAGGCGGGCCTGGGTTCAGTTCCCAGAACCCAAGGCAGGCCTGTAAGGCCAGCTCCAGAAGGTCTGACCTCCACCCCACAAGCACAACACTCATATACACACATACATACATACATACATACATATACACACACACATACATACATATACACACATACATACACACACATACATATACATATGCATATACATGCACACACATATTCATATATACATGCACACATATATTCACATATACATACATATGCACATACATACAAATACACATACATGCACACACATACACACATATATACACACACCTATACATACACACATACACACACACACACACACACAAATAAAATAAAATCCTATTTTTTTTTTTTTTATTTTGAGAGAAAAGAAACCCTCCACCTGCCTGCAATGTCACTCACTGGTAATCTCTTGGTAGGCTAAAAGAGGAGTATTTGAATTTGGAGTTCACCTGGGCTGTATAATAAGTCTTGTCTCACAGAAAAGAACTCTCCTTAGAATAATATCAAACCCATGGCCAACACATGCCACTAGACTGCTTAGCAGCTGCAGACCCCCCTCCACCCCTCTCCTTCCCCTTGAACCCGGTCCCTGTGTCTCGCCCGCCTCATGTCCAGGATGACCAGCACCTCTGCATTGCCACGCCTGGCCTCCTTATGTGCCCCTGCCCAGGCCTGCTCCTGCCACAGTGCCCCGTTAGATTCAGCGACCTAACCACACGATCAAGACAAAAGGCAGGCCGGAAGCCCCCGCAGGCCTCCAGGCTGGTGTCTGTGGAGTCTGTCGCTGACTCTGCTGCCCAGCCCCACACCCAGAGGTTTGTTGAGGGCTTGCTCACAGGGTTGTCGTCTAGACACAGGATGCAGAAGAGAAAACAAGAGCCTGACTCTTGAGCTGACTCCGAGATCAGTCACAAAAACAAAAAAAAAGATTTGTCAATTGCTGCTGACAATACTGTAGCCTTAAGTTTTCTCAGGTCCCGCCCAGCCCCGAGGTCCCGAGTTCTTCCAGTCCCGCAGTCCCTCAGCCGCTTGTAAAATAGTCAGTCAGAGGCTTATATTAATTACCAATTGTATACCCTGTGGCAGGCTTCTTGCTAGCTAGCTCTTACAACAACCCATTTCTATTCATCTGTAAGTTGCCACATGGCCATGGTGTTACCGGTCTGCTGGCATCTTAGTGCTCCTTCTGCAGCAGCTGGTGTCTTCTCTTTGGTCTACACAATACCATAGAGGAACTGAGTCGGGAAGGAGAGGCCACTCGGGCATGGCCAGCAAACTTCTGGCAAAGATGAAGAAGCATCCCAAAGTATCTACGGTAGAGAAGGTCTTCCCGAGGGAAACGCCAGGGCGAAGGTCCTGGGGCAGGATAGGGCACTGCTAGGCTGGAGCATGCCTGGCTGAGGGAAGAACTGGGGAGACGAGATGGGTAGCAGGTAGGGGACAGTCACATGGGGATTTTCAGGGCTATCAAGGTTTTCACAGCGTGGTGGAACTGGGTTGGTGGCTCTGAGGCCACCATGGAGGAGGGACTGTGGGTTGGAGGGAGGAGGGCTAAAGAGGGGACACCAGCCACCTCCAGACAGAGAAGCTGATGGTGGCGTGACAAGGAGAGTTCCAGCCTGGACCTGTGCCGTAGACAGAGCTGCCAGGCTTCGGGGACATGGGGACATTGAGCTCCAAGGTCTGGCCCTTCTGACCACAGCGCTGGGTGAATAACTGGATGGGGACAGATGGGAAGCCGTACTGAAACACCTGCTTAGTGTCAAATGAGCAGATTTGGAGGGAAGTGAGTGTGCATCAGGCCAGAGGGTCTGTAAAACCAGCGAGGCATGCGCAGAGGCGGTGACAGCTGGAGCCAGAAGCTGCTGTGTGGGGTGACAGCCACATTCTGTTCCCCAGGGTCCTTGCGTGCGAGCAGTTTGGTTTGGGCAGGCTGGACTTTTCCTTGTTCCACCTCATCTGTCGCTGACCTTCCCAATTCCCCAGGGGAGTGTTGTTTATTGTCACTGGCCAGGCTCCTCCATCACCGGTCTCTGCTCACAGATGTGTGTCTCTCTCTGGGCAGGCGGCCCAACAGTCCTTCCCTGTCCCGGCTGTCTCTAGGCAGAGACCAGTCACATCTAGTTTCAGACAAACGTTTTCAGTCATTCGGAGGGAAGTGTTCAGCCCCTCCTTACAGAAGAGTTGGGACCCTGATTTCCCCGGTGCCCTTCCCACGAGCTGACTGGTCACACTGGTGACTGTCCCATTGTGTAGGTGCCGTTGCCAAGGCTGACCAGAGAGCTCTTGCCTGAGGCTAGCTGGGCCTCCACGCTCTGAGTGGAGACCTCGCCCTCCAGACTCTCACTCTTGACTGTGGGTCGGAGGATGGATGTGTTTGTTGTCCCCTAGCCTCTGGTGCCAATGCCAGGAGCATGTGTGACAAACAAAACGTCACCGGTGTCCCTAGAGAGGTCGAGTCCCTCCACTAGCCTTCCATACTCTACACACAGACTGCACTGGACGGACGGGTCCACCCACCCCACCCCGGCTCCCTGCATCCACCCCTGTCCTGTAGCACTCTTACAGATGTTAGTTTCCATTTTAATTACACTGGGTTGTGTGTGTCACAGCATGTGGGTGGAGGCCAGGGGACCCGTCAGTTCACTCCTTCTGGAGGTTGAATTCAGGTCATCAGCGTTGAGCCATCCTGCCAGCCCACAGAAAGCCTTTGGAGTAGGACATGCCGGTGGCTGCCCTTGCCCAGGGGGGATGTGCAGCGTGGCCACCTCGGTCAGGTCCATCTTGTCAGCGGCTGGCTCATCACATACCCAGTCTTGGCAGGTGCTGGACTGGGGGCCACAGGGTCCAGACAGGCTTGTGCCCTCTGGGCCCTCCATCCTTGGTGGCGGGGAGAGACAAACAGGAAAGCTGGTGTTTCCACAGGTGGTCTGAGAACACTCTGGGAGGAAGTGACCAGGGAGGGCAGAGGGGAAGGGACAGGCAGGGGCATCTCAGATGTCACACTGCGAAGGGGCTGGTCCATGAGAGGACAGAGGAGGTGAGTGGCCAAGCAGAGAGAGGAGCATTGCAAATGTCTTAGGGTGTTTAGGGAGCTAGAGGCCTGGGGCGTCTGAACCCCGTGAGCCAAGCACAAGTCAGTGAAATGGAGTCGACGGTCCTGAGTTTAGAGGCTCCTCCTGGCTGTCTGCGGACGATTCTAAGAGGAGACAGAAATAGAGGGTGAAGTCGGGATGGGCAGGTGAAGGGGGTAAGTGTTGTGTTCTCTGTCTGTCTCTGTCTGTCTCCCTCCCTCCCTCCCCCTCCCCCCTCCCTTCCTTCCCCTCCCCCCACTCCCTGTCAGGGTCCCCTATGCATTTGAAACAAGTGCTCCAGCAGTGAGCTCCATCCCTAGTCCCTAAACTTCTCCCCTTTTCTGTACTTTCTTGGCCAGCGCTCACCCACTTTGTGGGCTCTGGACATAGGCTCCAAAGAGCCACCAGCAGGGCTCTGGGCACTTGGGTACAGCTCTTGAACGATGGTCTCCGGCGGGTTCTTAGGACCTCACACCCTCTTCTGCCTTTATGTCTCTGACCTCAAGGTGTGGGCCCTGGGGCACACGTGTGTCCCCGGGGCACGGGAGACTCACGGACTGACCATAGGAACCTTGGTGGCCGAGGGACTGAAGTTGGTGGCTGTGGCTCTCCCAGGGTCCTAGAAGGGAGGGAAGAAGGGTGAACAGTGTGGGAATGTGGGTGTGTATTGGCCTCACATTACGGAAGGGAACTACCACACGAAATTAAGTAGTTAATGAAATGTCAGCCGTGCATAGTGTGATTCAGCGGCTCGGCTCCAGAACATTTCAGCTCCTCAGTGGTTATTTATCAGTTCTGTTGATGTTCAGTGTGGGTGGAGGTGGTGTAGGATGAGCCTGTGCCAAAATTGCTGCCATCCTTGAAACAGCCCTGTTGACGGCTCTACCCAGATGGCCAGGGACCAGGGAGGGAGGAACGGGCTGTACGCTGAGCGAGCCCTCCAGCCAGCCCTGCAGCAAACCGCGGCATGGACCGGCACCTTTCACACGTGCTGGCCTCCTGCACAGCAGTGAACCCTAGTGCTGAGCCCCCACCGCCAAACAAAACAGAGGGGTGATACCCTCAGCATGGTGTTCCGCCAGGAGCTGGCAGGTCCAAGGTGCAGATGTAGTCACTCTGCAGGCTTGCACTCACCCACGTGTGCCCTGGCCTGAGGAGATGCTCAGAAGGGAAAGTGCTTGCTATCTGAGCATGAGGACCTGGGTTCGAATCCCTAGCACCCACAGAAAAAGCGAGGTGGGATAGCACACACTGGTAATCCTAGCACTGGGAAGCAGAGGCAGGAGGATCCTGGGAGCATGGTGGCCAGCTGGGCTAACCAGTGGTGATCACAGTGAGCCAGTCTAGGTCCACTGAAAACCCTGTCTCAAAGGATAAGAAGGAGAGCTAGGGGAATAAACTCCATGTCAGCCCCTGACATCCATGTGCACACACACCCCTACACATACATGTGCACATCCATCCATACACCACACACAACAACAGCAACAAAACGTGTCCTCTGAGAGTCCCGTTTGTTTCCTCCATTACCCGAATACCCACAGCAATGCCTCCTGTGCCCTCCAGTGCCAGGCTTCCAGCCAGCTCGTCTCGATCCCTGGTCGCTGCAAGACACAGCTTTTCCAGACCACAAATGCATTGTTATGAGGCAATTTGAGTTTGTTTCAGGGCTGGGAGAGATAACAGAAGGGCTTGTGCCTCCCATCAGTCGGTGAATGGCTCCCCAGCAACCCTTAACTCAGACAAGTGGAGCGAGGCAGCCAGGCGGGGAGGCACATGCCAGCTGAGCTGCCGGCTCCAAATGGTGAGCACTGGGCAGGGCAGGGCAGAGCAGGGAAGGACTCGGGGGCTGATCCCTCACATAGGAAGGTGAGCACGCCCGTGATTTCCCACATCTGGCATCAATTAGACAAGGTACTAACAGGCAAGAAGCCGGTAGGCTGAGGACCAGATGTTTGCTGTGATGAACGATTTTAGTGGCTCTTTAGGAACTTGTGTCGTGTGGATTTTAAGCAATATCCATGAACAGTCAGCCCCCACCACCACCACCACCACCATGCCATCTCTGCAGATTCTACCTCTGTGTGTTCAACCACCAAGGATCAGAAGTGTTCGGCACCAAGTGTGTCTCTGCTGGGCATGCCTAGAATTGTTTTCTTGTCATTATATCCTAGACTAGAGAGTGTAACAGCTGTCCATGTAGCATTATCTCGAATTAAGTGGTATAAGGAACCCGGGGACAGGCTGAAGTGTCCTGGACTCTGTGTGGGTCTGTGGTCTGGAAAAGCTGTGTCTCTTAGCCACAGGGGCCTGGAACCACCCGAAGTCCCGAGGAACCCAGAGGGGAACACTTATTATCTCCATTATAGACGGAGAGGCTGAGGTGTCCAGAGAGAGAAAGAGCCAGGCACACTGGCCCAGACCTGTAATCCTAGCACTCAGGAGGCTGAGACAGGAGGATCAAGTGTTCTAAGCCAGCCTAGGCTACGTAGCAAGACCCTATTTCAGGAAATAAGAAAGAATAAAAAATTTGCCAAGGGCACACCATCTTCAATGCTGTGGGATTTCTTCAGAGTTCCTTTCATGTGAGGATTTGGGAGGTGATGGGTTTGGAGTCACTGCATTTTTGTTTAACATTAGTGTGTGTGTGTATGTGTGTGTGTGTGTGTGTGTGTGTGAGAGAGAGAGAGGGGGGGGGGTGTCAGAGGACAACTTTCAAGAGTCTTTTCTCTCCTACCACATGGGTCCCAGAGATTGGTCTCAGGTTGTCTGACTTGGGGACTAGGGCTCTTCCTCTTCCCCACTGAGACATCTCACCTGTCCTGTTTAGAATAGGTAACGCCACTTCCTTCGGGAAAAGGTACAGTGTTTGCGCCCCCGCCCCCCACCGACCCCTACAATCTGTAAGCTCCCCCTGGGCTCCTGTGGCCCGCACATTCGTTATTTTTGTCACGCCCACTTTTCTTCACTGATGGCCTTCAACTAAGTTCCTCCAGCTACCAGTGGCGTCTCAGGGACAGTGGCACTGCCCGTGTGTCTCTTGTGTGGGACTGCTCCGTCACCAGGTATGGGAAACACCACCACTGCTCACCCTGCTGTCCACTCAGGAATGGCTTTGGTGACAATGTGTCAGCTGCAGACCACGCACGAAGGGACGCACTTGACCCTTGACCCTGATGTCCTGGCCACACAGTTTATCCTTTGCACAATCAGTTTATGCATTGTGGTGACAGGCTGCACCGTGTAGCAGAGGGCATTTGTAATAAACCATGGCAGCTGAAGCCTGTGTTCTGTCTCCAGGACTTCTAGACCACAGTCAGGACAGGGCACGCAAATCACTTCTCCACTGTAGGCGTAGAACCTGGACCTGGCTCACAGGACCAGTCAGCTACACATCCTATCAGGGGATGTCAATCCAGCCCTGCTTCCTGGGGACTAGCATTGGCTTGTACATTGTCTCTGGCCTTTCTTGACCTGCCATAGTCTTAATCTGCTGCCACATTGTTGTGTCCCAGCACCAGCCCCCAGCCCCCAGCCCCCAGCCCCCTCCCTCAGGTACCATCCCAGCCACTACCACTCTGAGAGTACAAGTTTCCCGGCCCCAGCTCCGATCTGGGCTGCAATCCTCCTCTTGGCTCTCGCTCCAGCTCTCTCTCTTGGCTGCGACTCCCAGCCCCCGGCCCACGCTAATCGGCTTCTCCCACCTCTACTGGTGCCGGAATAACCATTTTAAAAACGGCCCTGGGGAAATCTAATCAAATGAGAGCGAAATCTAATTTGGCACTAAAAGCCTCCGACTGAAGCCCTGATTTCTGGAGCTTCATGGAGCCTGGATAATAAGGTCTTTCTGGGTTTCGCAAGGGTCCAGGACTGGAAAGAAGGAAGGGTGAGAGGATATGATAGGAACTGTGATGTTCCTGGTACAGAGGATGGACAGGGAAGAGCACAGCTCCCTCATCCCACGCGCCTGGCCAAGCCCCGGTGGCTGTGAGCATTTGGAGCACACCAGCATCACAAAGACCTTGGCCTTCATCTTTGGGGGTCCCCAGCCTGGGACCTGGGAGAGCTGGGGGGAACCCCAGTGCCGCTGTGGGATTCAGCCACCTTTCTCTGGTTCTCACGCATCTGCCCAGTCAGGAGCTGTTTCCTACTTCCTGAGCAAGCTGTGGTCCTGGGGTCTTTGGGGGACATGGCAATGCTGTCAATGTGTCCCAGGACACCATCCATGAAATACAACATCTGGCAGGTATGGATGCTGGAAGGCTCTGGCCACTTTGCTGGTCACTGTAGCTTCCAGGAGCCAGCAAATCGAGCCCCTTTTCCTATAAGGTCACCCCCACCCTCCCCGCTCTTCTACCTTGGGTTCCCCAAATGTCCCAAGCTTGCTCCTATCACAGGACTTTGTACCTTGCAGTTCCCCCTGCCTGGCACAGTGTAGTGGATAATCCTGTCAAGCCTCCCTGTTGTTCCCCCCGCCCCCCCCCCCGTGGTCCGCTTGCCTAGCTAGGCTACACGACCCTATGGTTACACAACCTTCCAAAACAGCGCCACCTGCTGGGGATCCAGTGTTCAAACACATGAGCCTGCGGGGCACATTTTAGACTCAAACCATACCACCACCTCAGGAAGCACAGGAAGCCCTTTGCCTGACAGAGGTTGTTGAATGAATCTGAAGCCATACATGCCCTGGGGCTGTTACCCCAAATTCACCGATTCTGTTTGCTGTCATTGTGGTTTTGATTGATAACTGGCTCTCTTTCTTTCTTTCTTTTTTTCACTCTTTGCACTTCAGTGGCTTCCAGAGGAAACTTTTCCATCCCTGTACATATATACTTTTTCCATTTTAGTTTTATTTTTATTTGTAATATATTTCTAAATTTTATTTACATATATAATGTTTTTGTGTGAGTGGATGCCACATGTGTGCAATTGCCCTCAATGGCCAGAAGAGGGCACCAGATATCCTGGAGCTGAAGTTAATGTGCAGTTGTGAGCTTGGGGCCTGGGGACCAAACCTGGGTCTTCTGGAAGAGGAGCTCGCTCTCACTACCTAGCATCTCTCCACACATACCCCAGTATTCCAGGACTGGGGTGGGGTGGGGGTGGGAGGCTGTCTTACCTTCTTCATTGTTGAAGTTCTGAGTCAGTACAGGAAGAACCGTAACTGATGGGAGCCAACCTGGGTCTGGTAAAGGTAACGTGGAAAGGCTTCTTCCTGATGACATTTGAGCTTCCAAGCCTTGTTCCAAGCTCCAGCTGAAGTACCTCCCAACCCCCGCACGCACATGCTAAAAAATTCCTTCTTAAAACAGCACCCACCCACAGCTCTCTGTCTCTCTCAAGGATAAGCCAGAAAAGGGGTTGGGCTCCCGAGTTCCCAATTTATCCCTTCAAACCCTCAAGTTGTCTGGGCTAGTGGTCAGCAAACTATGGTCCATGGACTATATCCGGCCCTCCATCTGTTCTTATAAATAAAGGTTTATTGGGACACAGCCACATCCATTTGCTGATATCTTTTCTGCCCCTGTTTTCTACAAGGGTACCTGCCACAGAGGTGGTCTAGCCTGGGGATGGACCCTCTGGGCCCTGCTGTATGTGGATCCTCAAGCAGGAAGGGCAATGGGGAGCAAAGAGGTAGGCGTGTCGTGGAGTAGATCGTGAAGGCAGAATCACCTGCATCGAGGAGTGAGGACCCTGGAACACTGAGGACGTTGATTAGACCTGGCCTGAGGCAGCCCTGATCTCCTCCAGCCTTTTCAGCTCTCAGAGTATGGTTCCAAAGGACCCAGAGATGCCCCAGGGCTGCTGGGTGATGGTGGAGTTTTTAAATAAGGTCACAGTTTCTCCTCTTGGGCACCACTGACATTTTGTTCTGGAAGGTTCTTTGTGGCCAAGAGGCTGCCCTGGGTGTTGGAGGGGGGAGCCATCTAGCAGCCCCTAGAGTCATCCATCATAACACTAGAAGTACCACCCTCTGAGCTACCAGGACCATCTGGGAGACAAGGGCAGCCTGGATGGAAGGTCCACTTGGAGAACTGAGCATGCACAACAGGGCGTCCTGACCTTCATCCTGGACCACCCTAGCATGACCTTGCCGTGCTCTGTGGGAAGGGAAAGACTGGCTTCTTGTTCTTTCAGAGAGCGGTGGGATCTGCTTGCCTCTGAGGACCTGGTCACTCCAGTCACCCAGCCAGAAACACCACACACACACACACACACATACACACACACACATACACACATACACACACACACATACATACATACACACACATACACACACACACATACACACACACACATACACACACCTTGTCACTCCAGTCACCCAGCCAGAAACACTACACTACACTACACTACACACACACACACACACACACACACACACACACACACACCCTAACCAGGTTCTGTCTGATCATCTCTCTGCCTTCCCACGGACGGATTCTTCTTCCTGTTTTCCCTTATCTCTGGTGCTTCGATTCTTGCAAGCAGTATTTCCTCTGCATCTCTCAGGAGCAGCCGCCCCTGGCCCTGCACTACTGAGGAGTCCTCGGCAGATACATCTCCTTTGTCCTGTACCTGAGGAACTCTGGAATCCCAAGCTCCAAGGACATGGTTCTCTCCACCAGCCCCCTGCCAGGTCTCCAAGGATCTCCCACTTTGTCGCAGCTGCTATCCCCTGAGGCAGCAGGCTGCCCCAGCTCTGTTCTCAAAGGTCCACCATGGAGGCCCCACACTGTCCTCTGGACCCACAGGAGCCCAGCCCCTGCTGCCTTCTCCGATAAGCATCCCTTCCATCCCTCCCTCATCCTGAGTGTTACACTGGCACCCACAGGCACGCCCTGTTACGGGCGTATCCCCTATCAGTGTGCTCTTGAGTTCTCCTCCCTTCCCACCTCAGACAGTCAAGGTCCTGTGCTGGCCTCAGTCATGGTGGAGTGACTCGGGACCTCAGGGTCCCTGACTGGAAATAGGGGACTAGGGTGTGACCTCTGTGCCAAACAGTCTGTCCCCTCGTCCTCGGGGAGAAGCTCCACATCTCCCCCCTTCCTGATGAAGTTCAGAGCGGTGTGCTTTTGTTAACCACAGGCATTGTTGTTGACACAGAAATACACGGTGGCCAGATGGCCACACCACAAAGGCCACCAGTGGCCTCTGTGTGTCTGTAAGAAGTAAAGTGGGACCGTGGTGCTAAAAACCCCCAGACCCCCCAACCTCCTCCCCTCCCTGCACCCAGCACTGACCAGCACTGTGGATTTCTGCTGCCCAGATTTTGAATTTCATTAAATCACATCTTTTTTTAATTTATTTATTTTTATTTTATGTGCATTGATGTTTTGCCTACATGTGTGTCTGTGTGAGGATGCCAGAGACCCTGGAACTGGAGTTACAGACAGTTGTGAGCTGCCATGTGGATGCTGGGAATTGAACCCAGATCCTTTGGAAGAACAGCCAATGCTCTTAACCACTGAGCCATCTCTCCAGCCCCTAAATTACATCTTTTTAAAAATATCACTGGAGCCGGTGGTGATGGCGCATGCCTTTAATCCCATCACTCGGGAAGCAGAGCCAGGTGGATCTTTGTGAGTTCGAGGCCAGCCTGGTCTACAGAGTAAGATCCAGGAAAGGCACCAAAACTACACAGAGAAACCTTGTCTCGAAAAAAAAATCACTGGAATTGATATTTTAAATTTTATTTTTTGAATTGTGTGTGTGTGTGGTGAATGAGTGAGACTCCTGTGCTGGAAGATGGCATTGGGTCCCTGCAACTTGAGTTTCCCGACCATTGCCCAGTGTAGACGATAGGAACTAAACTTGGCTTCTCTGCAAGAACAGTATGTGCCCTTAACCTCTGAGCCGTCTCCAGCCCTGTAAAGATTCTCCCAATGGATTTCCACCTGGTCTGTCTCTCATACTGTTAGCATGTGCCCACACTCTTGGATGTAGGGCAAGTCTGTGCCATTTTCTATTACATGCATTCCAGAGTTTCATGACACATCTTCCCCCTAATGAACTTCTTGTTTCTGTTTGCCTTCTGAGTGTGCTGCTGTCACCATATCCTGGGTGGCTCTTGATGAATATGGGCATGCTTTTCTGTGGGGTAAATATTCAGATTGCTGGGTCAGAGCCCACGTTCAAGTTCGGCAGACAGTGCCAAAGAGATTCCAAAGTGTTGGTCCAGTTGGCACACGCCAGCTATCTGCAAGAACGCCAGATGGTCCCCACCCCCACCAAAATTTGGGGTACTGTCACCTTTTCTGGGACCATGGAAGATGGACTCCAGAGCATCCATAGGCCTGAAAAGGGGTACCTAGTCACTGTTCTACCACTGTGAAGAGACACCATGACCAAGGCAGCTCTTACAAAAGAAAGCATTTAATTAGGGGCCCCCTTACAGTGTCAGAGGAGAGTCCATTATCATCATGGTGGGGAGCATGGCAGCATGCAGGCAGGCATGGTGCTGGAGGAGGAGCTGAGAGTCCTACATCCTGATTCACCGGCAGCAGGCAGACAGGGTGAGACGAGGTCTAGCGTGGGCTTTTGAAAGCTCAAAGCCCACTTCCAGCGACACACCGCCTCTAACCAGGGCACACCTCTCCCAACAAGGACACACCTTCTAATCTTTGCAAACAGTTCACCAGCTGGGAGACCAAACGTGCAAATATGAGAGCCTGTGGCAGCCATTCTCTCATAAACCACCACAGAGGAGACGAGACTCGTACTTCTCACTGACCTGCAGCAGAAATGACCTGTTTGCTTCCCCCATGCTCACAGGCCACAAACCAGAATCCAGGACTTTGTCTTCCATAGAAATCACTGACATTTTAAGCAGGATATGGTGGTTCGTAGCTGTAATCCTAGTCCTCAAGAGGTTGAGGCAGGAGGATTGCTGTGAGTTTGAAGCTGGTGTGGTCTACATAGTTCCAGGATAGCTTGGTCCACAGTATTAGTCCTTGTCAGGAGAAAAGAAGGTGGGGGTGGGCAGGGGAGGGAGGGGGCCACTGCCATCTGAGCCCTGCTACAGTCGTTACAGAGATCACAGAACCAAATACTTCCACTCACCACTACTTAGAAATTGTCATTCCTCGGCAAGTTTTTGCTTTTGATATATTTCGTGTTTTTTATTATTTTTACTTAAAAATTATTTTAAAGTGTGTGTGTGTGTGTGTGTGTGCGTGTGTGTGTGTGTGCGTGTGTGTGTGTGTGTGCGTGTGTGTGTGTGCGTGTGTGTGTGTGTGTGTGTGTGTGTTTAGCATTACAGGCAATTGTAGGTCACCTGACATGGGTGCTGGCCCTCAACTCGGGTCTCAGGGAAAGCAGTGCATATTCTTTTTTTTTTTTTTTAATTTATTATGTACACAGAAGAGGGCGCCAGATCTCATTACAGATGGTTGTGAGCCACCATGTGGGTGCTAGGAATTGAACTCAGGACCTCTGGAAGAGCAGTCAGTGCTCTTAACCCCTGAGCCACTCCTCCATCTGCTTTTGATCCCTTATTTTTAAAGGACGTATCATCTACTGTACATTATTTTAGTACTTCTATAGCCATACTTCAAAAGGCCTTGACTTTTCCCTGTAATCCTGCTATCCGTTTTTATCTTGTACATGCAAATCTCGGTGAGAAGGGGCCCTGGGCTCCCCTCTTGCCAAAGGGCAGGGGGCGTATTGGTCTCTGGCTGTGAGCAGTCATGTTTGTCAACATCGTTCCGTGATGCCAAGGCCACGTCTGGCTGCTCCCTCACGCCTCTGATCCCCTGTTCCCTTCCAGCTTTCTTCGGAAAATACCTCAATGAGTACAACGGATCCTACGTGCCTCCGGGCTGGAAGGAGTGGGTCGGACTGATTAAAAACTCCCGGTTTTATAATTACACGCTCTGCCAGAACGGGGTGAAGGAGAAGCACGGCTCCGACTATTCCACGGTAAGCTGTGCCCTCCCCAGGCCCAGCCGGGAGAGCCCTGCCCTTCGCTTGCCTCCTGGGGTTGGCGCGCGGGTTTTCCGTCTCTCTCAAACGCCACCTCCTCCGAGAGGCCCCATCACTGTCCCAGCCCGGTTTCTGGAGTCCGGGCTCCAACACTCAAGTGTGACATCAACAACTCGCTTCTCTGTGCCTCCATTTCTGCGCGGGGATTGTGACCGTGCCCACTCTCCGCAGTTACATGAGTAAACACAGACCCGTTCTTGGCGGGCTGTAAACACTCAGCTGTGTTATCGTTATCCTTTCTGTCTGTCATGGAGGGGGACCAGTTGCTGCCCCGCCTGCCATGTCCCCTCCTCTCTCCTGCGCTAGTGTCCTCCGCCAGGTTCCACCTCTTAGTTTCCTTTCTGTTGCTGTGAAGAGATACCATGAGCACAGCAACTCTTATAATGAAACATTTAATTGGGGTAACTTACAGTTCAGAGGTTCAGTCCATTATCATCATGGTGTGACATGGTGGCGTGCAGGCAGACATGGTGCTGGAGAAGGAGCTGAGAGTCCTACATCTTGATCCACAGGCAACAGGAAGTGACTGAGACACTGGGCGTGGCTTGAGCATTTATGAGACCTCAAAGCCTACTCCCACGGTGACACACTTCCTCCAGTGAGGCCACATTTCCTCCAGCAAAGCCACACCTCCTAATAGTGCCACTCTGTATGAGCTTACAGAAGCCAGTTACATTCAAACTACCACACTTGATGAAAGCAATGATCACATGCTGCTACTCATTTCCCCTCTCCACCTGCACGGTCCAGGATCCCAGCCAGGGGCTGGTGCCACCCACAGTGGGCCGGTTTTCCCACCTTGTGTAAAGCAATGGAGATAATCCCCTTCACAGCCATGCTCGGGTCTGCCTCCCTGCTGATCCTAGATTCTATTAAGGTGATGATAAACACAGCTGTCATATTCTGAGTATTGTCCTTGCTTATCCAATGTCCACCCTGCCATCAGCTCCACAAGGACAGTGATCAAGGCAGGTTCATAGCTCTGTGCCTGATGCCTAGCATGGTGTGTGGCACATAAGGAGCACTCGGTCTAAAATCCCCCAGTCCTCACCATTCTCTTGCCTCTCCCTCCCCCAGGATTACCTCACGGACCTCATCACCAACGACAGTGTGAGCTTCTTCCGCACATCCAAGAAGATGTACCCACACAGGCCCGTGCTCATGGTCATCAGCCACGCGGCTCCCCACGGCCCCGAGGACTCAGCCCCTCAGTACTCGCGCCTCTTCCCCAATGCATCCCAGCACATGTAAGCCTCAGCCCCAGCGTGGCAGAAGTCACTGGTAAACATGGGAGTGGGCGGGTCAGGGCTCAGCAACGGGACACCTGTGACGTAGCTAAGCCTTCCCTATAACTGTCCTGGTGAAAGAACCCAAACGCCGCCATGGCAGCACTCGAGGGGCAGAAACAGGAGGGTCAAGAGTGCAAGGCCAGCCTCAGCTACATAGACAGTGAGGCTAGGCTGGACCGCATGAGACCCTGTCTCAAAAATAATAATAATAATAATAATAATAATAATAATAATAATAATAATAATAATAACCAAGAGCAGGGAATGGGGGAGCTGGGGAGATGGCTCAGTCAGTCGCCAGGGCACACAAAGATCTCGGGGGTCCAGCTGTTTATCAGGTGTGGCTCTAAGGACACAGACCAGCCAGCCTGGCTCAGCTCAGGATGGTTTCTGGACTGGGATCCGTGTCCTCACACATCCTCATACTCGCGGATCTGCACCCCCAAGGCTCCCTTTGTGAGGCTCTGTGTTTATATCCTACGAGTAAACCCTTCCTTCTCGGACGGAGCCTGCCCGCTTCCTTCACGTGTCAAGTCACCTGACAGAAGGGGCTTGGGGAAGGAAGGATTTACTTCTGTCCCCAGTTTGAGGGTCCAGGCCGTCACATCGGGGAACGCATGGCGGGCAGAGCAGGAGGCATCTGCAGTCGGGACAGAGATGAACTCTGGGGCTCAGCTCGCCTTCTCCTTTGTATTCAGTCCAGGACCCTAGGTTAAGGGATGGTGTTTCCCACATTCGGGAAGGTTCCTACCTCTTCAATTAAATCTCTCTGCAAAAAATAAACCACCCTCCCAGTTCCTAGGGACTCTAAACCCAGCCTAGGTGCCAACAGATACTTACATCACAGTGTCCACAGTTCCACCAGCTTCTGGCCGTGGGTGGGCCTTTGATCTTCATGGTGACCCTGGTGTATCCGTCCTCTGTTGCCGTGTGACAGATGACTCCAGAGTTTAACCCGCTTAAACAGCAGGCTCACAACACCCCATAGCCCGTCAGCGCGCTGAGGCCCGACCGGCTGCCTGGTTCTGGCTGTGTAAGCCTCTCTATAAGGTGGTACAGGAAGCAAAAGAGAGGTCAGGAAGGAAGTCACCATCCTTTCTCCCCGGACAGGGGACACATACCACCACGGTGCTGTCGGGGAAGCCTACAGAGGTGTGCGAACACC